TCCTTTCCCCCAAATCAATACTTGTCTCTACCTATCTAGCAGTGTTCCCACCCTGTCCGCACCCCTGGTAACCATGCTCGGGACCATGGTCGCAGGAGACATCAAGCTCAATTGGCACAACATGCTACACAAAAACATTGTTCTACATCCTACTTTGGTGAGTAGTCACTGGGACCTTAAAAGTTTGCAAGTGGCCATCTAGATGCAAGAATGGGTCTTCTCCTCGTCCAAAGCAAAGCAGAATGAAGAAAACCAAAGACATACGGAAACAATGAATCCAAGGGAGTGGTAGACCATATGATCCTCAGCCTATATGACCATGAGACCAGAAGAACTAGATGGTGCCTGACTACCACTGTCAACCACTCAGAGGGGGATCTGTGTAGGAGATCTGGAGAGAGTGGGAGAACAATGTGGAACAAAACTCAAAAGCATTAAAAAAAAAAAAAGACCAGGCTTGCTGGTCTGATAGAGCCTAGTGAAACCCCTCAGACTATGGCCCCTAGTTGCCCTACATCTCTGGAATTGAACTCACTCCTGTGGCTTCCAGCCAAATAAAAAGACAGGTATACGGGCTGAACATTGACATCAAGCAGATAGACTCTTTGGAGAGATCAATCATGGGAGAACAGAATGGCAGTGTATGCACAGAGAGACAGCTCAGGGGGACAGGAGTACATGGGAGAGAAGGACACAGGGAAGAGGTAACTATGGGGAGGAAGTGGAAAGAGAGCTGTTACAATGTGGTAAATTGCAGTCAATGTCGGCAGACAAAATGCATATGAAATGCTGTATGTAAAGTGAATGTGCTCTGCAAACTTTCAGCCAAATCATAATAAAAATTAAAAAAAAAAAAATTCTTGTTTTCTTTTGTGCATGCTAGACTGTAAGATCCTTAGGGGCAGTGCTTTGTATGTCTTGTCTCTGTAGCCCCAGGACTTTTCAACATTGCCTGGCACATAGCAGACATCTGTCAAGCATCTGCTGCATGAAGTAATGGATGAATCAATGTCTATCACCCAGCTAAAACATGTGTTTCTCAAGTGACCCACATACCTGTCATAATTAACTTCTATTCATTCAAAAGCACTTCAAGAAAGAAGTGAATTTTGATACGCACCCCGTTACTGTTCATGGGAGCTCTGGCGGCATAGTGCCTAAGGCACTTGACTGCTAACCAGAAGGCTGGCAGTTCAAACCCACCAGCCACTCCTCAGGAGGAAGGTTGGACAATCTACTTCTGTAGTGATACTGCCTCTGAAACCCAAGGAGGGGTCACTATGTGTTGGATCTGACTTGATGGCAATGGGTCTTTTGGCAGTGTTCATACAGAACTTTCTTTTCAAGGCTCTGCACTTAACTTTTCCCTCTGCTTGGACAGCTCTGCCCCAGACAGCAGCCTGGCTCATTCCGTACTTTTCATTTAGGACTCTCTGCAATAATGCCTTCTGGACTGCTCTACCTAAGGAGCACCCACTGCAGTTACTCCCCATCTCCTTCATTCTTTCAAGTAAATTTTACCAGACATTAAATTTACTTCCTTGTTTACTGTGCACCTTCCTTCACTAGACTGGAATCTTCATGAGTAAGGATTTTGTGTTTTGTTCACTACCATCTCTCTAGAACTTTACAGCAGTGGTAAGCACCTAATACAAATTTGTTGTACTATTTTAAAAAGCTAAGTATTCTTTCTTGACTTTTCCATCAAAAGCACTAACATTCTTCATACTTATTCTAGCCAATTTCAATTGTGACAAACAGAATGAGGTGGAGACAACTGATTCTAGGACCACATGATAGAGTGTCTCTAAATGACAAAGCAGACATGCTAAAGTAGGACTATTTTTAAGAGTTTTAAAAAATAAAAAGTGGAAAGTTATATCAATATGCATGTTTCAACTCCTGAAAATTAATACACTAAGATCCTAGAATCTTAATGTTAGTTAAGGGACTAAGTATTTGTCAACAACCTCTTATTACAGCCCCTTAATGACAATGTCTATAAAACTAAATTGTAAACTTAGCCCTGATTTGGCAAAGTATGACAAACTAGGGAATTTTAGAGGCCATTCAACAGGTAGTCATATATCAGCAAGATCAAGGTCAATTATCACCAAAGGCAAAGGTACTGAAACTTTAAAATATTTAACAAACTATAAATGTAAAAAGTGTTACTGATTTTATAACAAAGATTTAATCTGGAAATAAAAGATCCAATACATAAAAATTTTATTTATTGGAAAAATAAAAACATATATACCATAATAAATCAATTACAACAAACTTATCTAAATTCCAAGTTCTTCTTGTTGAATGAATGGCTGGAACCTAAGTCCAGCCTCTTCACACAGGCCCTCAGTTACAGATGAAGACTTTTGGAACAAAAACTTTGCTTTCCAAGGCCATCTCACAGACCTCTGTAATATAAGTTGATCCGAGCTGTGTGCCTTAAATATTTCCTCCACTCTAGAGAACAATTCCTGAAGTCTTACATCTGAGGAGAGGGAAAGAGACCCAATGAATAAAAACTATGGGGCACACACACACACATTAAGAACACACTCCAAAACCAGTCCACCTCTTGCTTTCTTACCACAAGACTAAATCACTTAGAATCAAATCCAAACTCCTTATATTGCCTACAAGGTCCTATACAACCTGGACCCTGAATATCTCTCCCTTTTTCACACACTATGCTGCTGTTCCTCAAATATTCTGATTTTTCAAATTTGTCCCAGTTCCTGAGCCCCTGCATTTTCTTTTCCTTCTGCCTGAAATGTTCTGTCCCCTCACTTTTGCATGGCTAGTCTCAGTTTAGGGAGCTCTGGTGGCATAGTGGGTAAGGTATTTGGCTGCTAACCAAAAGGTCAGCGGTTCAAACTCACCAGCCACTCCACAGAAGAAAGATAAGGTGGCCTACTTCCATAAAGATTTACAGTCTTGTTAACACAACGAGGGTTGCTATGAGATGGAATTGACTGGCAGTGGGTTTGGTTTTTGGGGAGTCTCAGTGCACACCAGAGGGAGTGTTGAGTTTAAATGTCACTTCCTCAGGGACGTCTTCTTTGCTTGTCACATCACTGTCAGTTACCACTGCTTGAAATTATCTAATTCCTGTATTTGTGCTGTTGTTTCCCTAACTAGAATACAAGCTCCCCAAGGGTGACCTTGTCCATTTTTGTTCTGCCACTGTATTCCCAGAACTTCAGTGAGTGGTCAATGAAGTTAGTAAAAGAAATTAATTCCAAAGCTAGAGCACTGCTCATACACCAACATAATTATGCATAGGAAATGGTTTTCCTCTGCCCAACCTCCAACTAGAAGAAATCAAATTGACTGAAAGGGGTGAAAGAATTCCCTTGTATTACTGAAAAGTGAAAGACAAAGGGTTTTAAGAGAGGAGAGGCTAGGTATGTTGAGAGCCCCAGGAAGTACATGAAAAGTGAAGATTCACAAGGATAGGCCAAAGATCTCACTATGGAGGACCAAGCCGAAGAGAAAAAGAGGCAGTGGTTGACTCCAAAGGAGCTCTGGTGGCAAAGTGCCTAAGACATCTGACTGCTAACCAGAAGGCTGGCGGTTCAAACCCCTCAGCCACTCCTCGGAAGGAAGGTTGGGCAATCTACTTCTGTAGAGATACTGCCTCAGAAACCCCAGGAGGGGCCGCTTTAAGCCGGGTCTGACTCCACAGCAGTGAGTTTGGTTTGGTTTTTTTTGGTGGACTCCAAAACTGAGTCCTCATCTGGGGCTCCAAGGCAGAATACTACCTTACACAGGGCATGAATCATGTCGCAAACACTGGCCACCGGGGATACAGGTGCAAACAAGACACCAAGGTCCCTGCTCTCAAAGAGCTTACACCCTAGTAGTTGAAAATGACAATACACAAGTAAACAATAAGTACATAATTTTAGATAATGCTATGAAGTAAATGAAACTAGGAAGATATGATGGAGGGTTGAGGAAACAAGGTCACTAGAGAGGTTGGTCAGAGAAGGCATAAGGTGAAAGATAAGGAGCCAGCCTCACAAAGATCTGGTGTTGGTAATTTCCAAGCAAACCAAAGGCACGTGCAAATGCTAGGAAGGGGCGTGGAATGTAGGAAAGTGAAAGATCAGGTCAATGCAGCTACAGTGGTTAAGGAGAAGAGATGGTGGAGGAGGAGGTGATGGTTCGCTCAGTGGGACATGCAAACCAGGACAATAACTTAGCAGAGATTCACTAAGTTTTTTAGGAGCCACTCTGGGAGGGGACAGATTATATTATTACCTCGTTCTGCGCATTAAGAAATTACCCAAAGCCCCAAAGCTCATGCTCCGAAACACAGCATAGCATTGTCGCCAGGAAGGGGAAGTTCCATATTATTACGTCCCAAATGCCTGGACTAGAATTTGATCCTCCCAAACAACACAGTACAGTGAGATCACGACGCTTACGTACAGGCGGGGAGATTGAGGCACAAAAAGTTCTCTTCATCCTTAAAAGGAAAGGTGAGTCCAGGTAACTCACGAGTCAAGGAGCCTGAGGGACCCCCGCAGCCTAGGCGGCCAGGCCTTGCCGCAGCACGCACTGCTCCTGTTGCAGGTGGCCGGGTCCACCCCAAGCTGCGGAGAACCGACAAGCGGGCGTGACCAATGAGAGGCGGCCTCTCCAAGCGGCAAAGCGGCAACGCAGCCAATCAACGCAGCACTGGAGGGGAAGGGGCGGGCATTCGGGCAGCTCACGCTAGGCCGCGCCGCAGCTACCCTCGCCCCTCACAGGCCCCGCCGGGTCTGGGCCTGCGACCCGAGACAACACGAGGTGGAGCGAGCCCCGACCCAGAAGGCAAAGACCAGCTCCAAGGGTACCGCCTAAAGCACCGACCCACACTCCGCTCTTGCCCAGAGGCGCGGCCCGGATTCCTAGAGCTCGGAAGTGCCAGAAGCGCTTCACCCTTACAACCTGGGAGGGGGTGGTCCCAAGAAGCTATCTTGCTAGGCGGTGCACCACCCGCGCCTTACCTTGTGGGGAATAGGGAACGGAAAAGGGAATCCCGGCCACGGAATATAGCCACTACTAACCGCTTTGGCTGCCGCTCCGCCTCACATTCAAACCCCGGCAAAATGGCGCGGCAGCGAGGCTGCGACCGGAGCGCATGCGTGAGACCAGGAGCGGCAGGGGGCGGGCCAGGAATGCTCGGCCCCACCCAAGTACGAGTTGCCAATCGGAATCCTGCTCCGGTTTTGCGTGACGTCACAGGTGGCAATGCCCTTTGGCTTAGGCCACTCTAACCAGCATTAAGAGCCCCATTTTTCGGAAATGAACACAGAACCTGCCAGTGGCTGCTAGATTGTGATCTGCCTTGATGGCAGTACGTGGCATGTAGCGATTTTTAGTATCAGTTGAATGAACCCTCTAAAGTCACACGGTGTCTAAGACAGAGCTCTCTGTCCCTCATGGAGCGTATGTTTTGGAGGAAGAAATAGAACACAAGCAAATAGAATAACAGATATTCATAAGTGCTATGAGAAGAAAAAGAAGCGCAACAGTTAAGCGCTGGGCTAACTGAAAGGTCAGTAGTTCCCACCCAACCCAGTGGCTCAGCAGGAGGAAGACCTGGTAGTCTGTTTCTATGAAGATTACAGCCGAGAAAACCCTATTGGGACCAGGTTTGCTGGTCTGATAAATGCTAGTAGAACCACTGAGACTATATGGCCCCTAGCTGCCCTTCAGGTCTGGAATTGAACCCACACCTGTGGCTTCCAGCCAAGTAAAAGACAGGCATAGGAGTTGAACATTTACCTGAGGTAAATACACTCCTTGAAGAGACTGATCATGGGAGGGCTGTTTATGCTCAGGGTGACAGCTCAGGGGGCAGGAGTGCATGGAGGGATGGACACAGGGAAGAGGTGACTGTCGGGAGGAAGTGGGAGGGAGCTGTTGCATTGTGATGAATTGTGGTCAATGTCATGAGACAAAGTGTATGTGAACTGTATGGAAAGTGAATTTGCTCTGTAAATTTTCACCCAAATCACACACACAAAAAAAATACCTATTGGGCAGTTCTAATGTCACATGGGGTCACTATAAGTCAAATGGCACCTAACAACAACAACATGAGAAGAAAATAAAAAACAGGGTGATAGGAAAGATAAAACTAAAAACTCACTGCCCTCGAGTCAGAGCCAACTCATAGCGACCCCTCGTTGGGCTTCCGAGGCAGTGACTTGAAAAGTAATTGGGATGGTCAGGAAAGGTATCTGAACAAAAGACAATTGAGCTGAATTTCAACAGAGACAGCTGTATGAAGATCAGCCAGGAGAGTATTCCAGGAGGAGAGATGGCAGTTGCAAAGGCTCAGAGGCAGGAATGAATTTGGCTGGAGCTTAGTGAAGAATGTCATGATGTGAAGTTAGTGTCATGACATCAGCTAGACCTTCTAAGCCAGTGTCTTCAGTGCATCTGTCACAGGTTGACCATCAGATACATATTTTAAAAGTCTCACCAGGGGCTACGTGGAAAATGGACTGTTGGGGGTAAGAATCTGAAGCAGGAGGACCAGTGAGGAAGCTGTTGGAGGCACCCAGAGAGAGAGGTGATGGCTTGGACTGAGGAGAAGAGCAGTACATAAGGAGAGAAGTGGAAAGCTTCGAGATATATTTTAGAGGTAAAGCCCATAGATTGAGTGTGGAAGAGCAAAATTACAAACACCTGTTTTTGACCACCATCTGCTCCTCCTCTCTCACCAGGCCCAGCTAGCTGTCCCCACTCAGAGCCATTCCTTGGAATTGCTAGTGTGCTACTTTGGGATTGAACTATGTGGTCGTTTTTTGATGAAACAAACATAACACAAAATTACATAGGCACTCTGGCTACAAACATGTAAAAGCAATTCCTATGGATAAAATAGGAGCTCTAGTGGTGAAGCAGATAAGGCACTTGACTGCTAACCAGAAGGTCAGCAGTTCAAACCCACCAGCTATTCCACAGAAGGAAGATGGGGCGATCTACTTCCATAAAGATTTACAGCCTTGGAAACCCAGTGGGGGTCACCTATGAGTCAGAAATGACTTGATGTCAGTGAGTTTGGTTTTTGATATGGATAAAATGTAAAAGGTTCTTCCATTTGAGTGGCAGGATACTTGAATAATTTCTTTTAGAAGGATCAGCACAAAGCTGGTTCTGATGAGGTGGAGATTGTTACTGTTGTTGTTAGGTGCCGTTGGGTCATCTCCAACTCATAGTGACTCTGTGCACAGCAGAACGAAATACTGCCTGGTCCTACGCCAGCTCCACGATCCTTGCTATACTTGAACCATTGCCTTCTTGATCATATGGCACCTCCTGAAATGGATGAAGATCAACAAGGTCTTTTTGGTGCAATGACTCTGTGTATTCCTGCCATCTTCTTTTGGTGCTTCCTACATCATTCAATATGTTGCCCATGTTGTTGTTGCTGTTATGTGCCATAGAGTCGGACCCGACTCATAGCGACCCCTCCTTGAGTTTCTGAGGCAGTATCACTACGGAAGTAGATTGCCCCATCTTCCTTCCGAGGAGTGGCTGGTGGGTTTGAACCACCAGGCTTCTGGTTAGCAGTCAAGTGCCTTAGCCACTATGTTACTATGGCAACTCCCATTTTGCCCATAGAATCTTTCAATATTGCAACTGGAGGCTTAAATTTTTTGCCTCAGTTCTTTCAGCTTGAAAAATTCCGAGCCTGTTCTTCCTTTTTGGTTTTCTAACTCCAGGTCTTTACACATTTCATTATAGTAATTGGGCTTTGTCTGCTAACGCTGCTCTTTGAAATCTTCTGTTCAGGTCTTTTATCTTGTCATTTCTTCCATTTGCTTTAGCTACTCTCCACTCAAGGTCAATTTTCAGAGTCTCTTCTGACACCCATTTTGGTCTTTTCTTCCTTTCTCATCTCTTTAATGAGCTCTTGCTTTCTTCATGGATGATTTTTCTTGATGTCATCCCACAATTCTTCTGGGTTTTGGTCACTGGTGGTCAATGCATCAAATCTATTCTTTAGATGGTCTCTAAATTCAGGAGGAATATATTCAAGGTCATATTTTGGCTCTTGTGAACTTGTTTTAATTGTCTTCAACTTTAAGTTGAACTTGCATATAAGCAGTTGATGGTCTGTTCCGCAATCAGCTCCTGGTGTTGTTTTGGCTAAAGATATTGAGCTTTGCCATCGCCTCTTGCCAAAGATGTAGTCAATCTGATTCCTGTGTACTCCATCTGCTGAAGTCCAAGTGTATAGCTGCCGTTTGTATTGTTGAAAAAAGGTATTTGCAATTAATAAGTCATTGGTCTTGCAAAATTCTATCATGCAGTCTTCAGTGTTATTTCTGTCACCAAGGCCAAGTTTTCCAACTACCAGTAATTCTTCTATTTCTATTTCCAACTTTTGCATTCCAGTCACCAGTGATAATTAACACATCTTGATTGTATGTTTGGTCAATTTCATACTGCAGAAGTTGGTAAAAATCTTCAATTTCCTTATCTTTGGCTTTGGTGGCTGGTGTGTAAATTGGAATGATCATAGTATTAACTGGTCTTTGGATGCAGAAAGCATCAAAAGAAGATGGAAGGAATACACAGAGTCACTGTACCAAAAAGAACTGGTCAATCTTCATCCATTTCAGAAGGTGGCATATGTTCAAGAACCAGTGGTACTGGAGTAAGAGGTCAAACCTGCACTGAGGGAATTATCAAGGAACAAGGCTCCAGGAATTGACAGAATACCCATTGAAATG